AAATTAGCTGAAAATAACCCTAGAACCTAGAGGCTACTGTTCCTTTAAGATTTGTGCCCAACTGTTGACGGACGGACGGACGAACGCACGCACGCACGCACGCACGATCATGCGATTCTACAAGCTGCATCTGACTACGTCAGATGAGCTAAAAATAAAAAAAATAATTAATAGTAAAATAATTATTAAAATTTTATATAAAAATAAAAAAAATAAAAAATATTTACCAGTATATGCCAGACGTTTTCGCTCGCTCCCTCGAACGAGCAGAAGCGAATGCTGACACCTAGCAGCCCCTGTCCGCCCCACATCGTGCTTGGCGTGATCGTAACGTTGCGGCACGACTGCGTCTTGCTGCTGTAGACTGTCATCGATATCGGCTTTTCCACGTTCTGCTTGAGTAGCTCTTTAAGCGTTTCATTGTCCTTGTCCTTAACGAGGAAAAAAAACAAAGGGTCGTGATTAATTTCATTAGTTAGTGACTCTAATGACCCTGGGGTCTGTTGTGAGAAACAAAATTAGTCTTAACTTTGAGTTTAATTAACCGTTTTCTTGTAGACCGTTGACAGAAACGTCATAAAATCTAATCGAATTTGCTTATAACTTTAGGAAACAAAATTCCGTCAACAGTCTATGAGAAAAAGTTAATGTTAAGACTAATTAAATTTTTGTTTTTGACAGTAGGCTCCAGATTCGTAGACAATATAATCACAAATCATTTCAATGCTCTCGAATGAACTAGACTACTTCATAGCTAGTAACACCATGGAACACATGACTTGACTTATTACACAGAAATTGCATATAAGGGTAAACATTTGAATTACTCCGGTTCAAAAATTTGGCTATGAATATATGTGAACTAATTTCAAATAACAGCCTATGTATAATATGTAATAACATAAGACTATAAATTACCAGTCTGGTATCGCCAATAGCAACAATAAAATCAAAGAAAGACTCGAGCCCGGCGTAATACCCCGCAGAGTTTTCTTGCACCTGCAAAAATAATAGGTTTGTAAACATTAGCAACAAACGCATTTTGCTGAAAATTACCATGTTATCCAAAATTCCTATTTTACAAAATTCCAATTTAAATTAATCTGAATTCTCTGTGAGGTTGCAGGAGGTTCCCTATCAGGGAGACTCAAGATTTAGGATGGGGGGCAGATTCCGGGAGCAGAGAAAAAGATATCATCTATATTGTATCTGCCGCTATATGCACTTGGGGACTTATGACCACAAGTTTTTAACGTAATTGTACTGAGATTATTGTCGTACATGTGTTATGGATTCATTGCATTATTAATCTGGCTTACTACTTAATTACTGTCTTCTCTATCACTTTCTGGCAGTCATTCATACCGACACAGTAGCATACGCGGGACGTACAATCCAAGTATCAATGTATTATGTAAGGTACATGAATTTATGGAAATCGAATCAATTTTAACATTGTTAACATGGCAACACAACACATCTAAACACGCACGTGTTACGCGTCTGACTTAACCAACATCAAACAACGAAATCAGACGTGAAAAGACCGGCCCACTATGCGTGTATCACCGACTATGAAACTATGGTGCATATCACAGGCACTTGGAGCATTTCAATAAAATATAATGCTAAATAAATACGAAATCTATTTACTACCAGCGTCTTATTGTTTCTCTACTCTCTTGCACCTATTATTGCCGACAATTTCCTGTAAATGCCGTCCAAATGCGCGATCATCTGCAACACACTGTCACACGCTGGCCACCGCACGCTAGCTGCTGCACACTGACACATAAATATATAGCAGGTAGAAAAGCATGCTGCCAAAATTCGCTCGACGCTCGCTAGATTTCATATGAATACAACACAAATATTCAACCATTCTACTCTATCTTTGTTTCTATTTGAAGAGCAGTGTTCACTTGTTATAAAAACATACTGTCTGTGTTCGTAACCGAGCTGTGTCACGCGAAATCACACAAAGCCTGACGAAATTTTTGCGTTCACGCCCGTTGCGCAGTTTATGTAAATGGCTGCAAGTACAGAGCTATAGGCAGTGCACTGCATTGTGTGAAACTACCACGCTGCTTTCCAACTCCCGTGTGAGCCCCGTGTGAGCCCCGTCAAAGCCGCCAGTGGAGCGTTGCAAAAACGTTGCAGCGCAAAAATGAGGTCACGAAGAGCGCCGGTGGGTGTTTCCTGATTCCGACAGCCATTTACACAAACTGCGCAACGGGAGCGAACGCGAGAATTTCTATGATATACTTATGTGTCAGTGTGGCTCATGGGTCTATATCCCCCAGGGTACTATCGGAGGTAGACCGAATAATTCTGTCCCATTTAAGGTGGCGTATAACAGTAAGCCTCCGAGATTGTTCACCGTTGCACTACTTCGTCTCTAGAAAAGGCCTTTTTTGGCATTTTTTTTTCGCCGAAATTCGGCACTAGAGTGCAATAATTAGCATTATGCCACGCAAGGTGGATGCGTCGTGGACGTCGAGAAAAGCATTAGAAGTAAAATTATTTTTGTTGTGTATTCGTGACATTCCGTCAGGTGGCGTAGCCATACGGTGGCGCAGAAGGCTCACCACAAATACAAATCCCACAACACAACTGCAAATCCCACAACACAACTGCAAATCCCACAACACAACTGCAAATCCCACAACACAACTGCAAATCCCACAACACAAATGCAAATCCCACAACACAAACGCAAATCCCACAACACAAATGCAAACGCCACAACGCAAATGCAAACGCCACAACGCAAATGCAAATGCCACAACGCAAATGCAAACGCCACAACACAAGCAAACGCCACAACGCAAATGCAAAAGCGACAACACAAATGCAAAATTCCCTGCCCGCGCCCGCCTGTACTGTTTGTACTGGGCGCATTGTATCATGCAGGAGTAGATAATCAGGATATCTTACTCATATCATCTACTCCTGATTGTATACAGCTGTTAACCCCCTCCCCCTCCGCACACACGCTATCACGCTATATGGCCGGTAGAGAAGCTGGTAGAGAAGGAGGAGGGGGAGAAGCTGGTGGAGAAAGAGGAGGGGGAGAAGCGGGTGGAGCAGGAGGGGGAGAAGGAGGAGGGGGAGAAGCTGGTGGAGAAGGAGGAGGGGGAGAAGGGAGAAGCTGGTGGAGGAAGAGGAGGGAGAAGCTGGTGGAGGAGGAGGAGGGGGAGGGAGAAGCTGGTGGAGGAGGAGGAGGGGGAGAAGGGAGAAGCTGGTAGAGAAGGAGGAGGGGAGAAGCTGGTGGAGGAGGAGGAGGGGGAGAGGCTGGTGGAGAAGGAGAAGGGAGAAGCTGGTGAAGAGGGGAGAAGCTGGTAGAGAAAGAGGAGGGGGAGAAGGGAGAAGCTGGTAGAGAAGGAGGAGGGGAGAAGCTGGTGGAGAAGGAGGGGAGAAGCTGGTGGAGGAGAAGGGGGAGAAGGGAGAAGCTGGTGGAGGAGGAGGAGGGAGAAGCTGGTGGAGGAGGAGGAGGGGGAGAAGCTGGTGGAGGAGGAGGGGAGAAGGAGAAGCTGGTAGAGAGAAGGAGGAGGGGGAGAAGGGAGAAGCTGGTGGAGGAGGAGGAGGGGAGAAGGGAGAAGCTGGTAGAGAAGGAGGAGGGGGAGAAGGGAGAAGCTGGTAGAGAAGGAGAGGGGGAGAAGCTGGTGGAGGAGGAGGGGGGGGCTGTGGAGAAGGAGAAGGGAGAAGCTGGTGAAGAGGGAGAAGCTGGTAGAGAAAGAAGAGGGGGAGAAGGGAGAAGCTGGTAGAGAAGGAGGAGGGGGAGAAGCTGGTGGAGAAGGAGGAGGGGAGAAGCTGGTGAAGAAGGAGGAGGGGGAGAAGGAAGAAGCTGGTGGAGGAGGAGGAGGGAGAAGCTGGTGGAGGAGGAGGGGGAGAAGGGAGAAGCTGGTGGAGGAGGAGGGGGAGAAGGGAGAAGCTGGTAGAGAAGGAGGAGGGGGAGAAGGGAAAAGCTGGTGGAGAGGAGGAGGGGGAGAAGCTGAGAAGCTGTAGAGGAGGAGGGGGAGAAGCTGGTCGGAGAAGGAGGAGGGGGAGAAGCTGGTGAGAAGGAGGCAGGGAGAAGCTGGTAAGAGGTGAGAAGCCACCTTCCTTCCCACCTGCGTCTCGCTCCCTTCTCCACCAGCTTCTCAACCCCTCCTCCTTCTCCCACAGACTTCTCCCCTCCTCCTTCTCCACAGCTCTCCCCCTGCCTCCTTCTTCCACCAGCTTCTCCCGCCTGCCGCCTTCTCCTACCAGCGCTTCTCCCTCCCTCCTTCTCCATTCTCAGCGCCTGTACCCTCCCTTCCTCCTTCTCTACCAGCTTCTCCCTTCTCCCCCTCCTTCCTCTCTACGCAGCTTCTCCCTTCTCCCCCTCCTCCTCCTCCACCAGCTTCTCTCCTTCTCCCCCTCTCTCCTTCTCTACCAGCTTCTCCTTCTCCCATGCCTCCCTCCTCCACCAGCTCTCCCCTGCCTCCTCCTCCATTCCCCAGCCTCTCTCCCCGCTCTTCTCCTCTCCAGCCTTCTCCCTTTCTCCCCCTTCTTTCTCCACAGCTTCCCCTTCTCCTTCGTCCACCAGCTTCTCCCCTCCTCCTTCTCTACCAGCTTCCGCCTTCTCCCTCCTCTTTCTCTAGCCAGCTTCTTCCCCTCTTCACCAGGCTCTCCGCTTCCTCCTTCTCCACCAGCCTCTCCCCCTCGATCGCTCCTCCACCAGCGTCTCCGCCTCCTCTCCCTACTGTCTCTACCAGCCTAATCCCTCTCCGCCTCCTGCCTCCTCCACAGCTTCTCCTTCTCCCCTCCTCCTCCCTCCCTCCTCCACCAGCTTCTCCCTCCTCTTCTCCACCAGCTTCGTCCGCTTCTCCCTCCTCGCTTCTCCAGCCAGCTTCTCCCCCTCCTCCCTTCTCCCCCTCTGCTCCACCCGCTTCTCCCCCTCCTCTTTCTCACAGCTTCTTCCCCCCTCGCTTCTCTATCGCAGCTTCTCTACCCGCCATATTAGCGTGGATAGCGTGTGCGCGGAGCCGGGGAGGGTTGATTAACAGGCTGGTATAACAATCAGGAGTAGATCTGAATGAGTAAGATATCCTGATTATCTTGACTCCTGCATGATACAATGCCCAGTACAAACGAGTACAGGCTGGGCGCGGGCAGGGGCATTTTCGCATTTTGTGTTGTCGCTTTGCATTTGCGTGTGGCGTTTGCTTTGTGTTGTGGCGTTTGCATTTGCGTGTGTGCGTGCGGTTTTGAGCGTTGTTGGTTGTGGCATTTGCATTTTGCGTTGTGGCGATTGCATTTGGCTTGTGGCGTTTGATTTGCGTTTGTGGCGATTTGTCATTTTGTGTTGTGGATTTGCATGTTTGGGTGCTTGTGTTGGGATTTGCAGTGTTGTTGTGGGATTTGCAGTTGTGTTGTGGGATTGTTGTCGTTGGTGCGTGATTTTGCCAGTTGTGTTGGTGGGATTTGTATTTGTGGTGAGCCTTCTTGGCTCAACCGTTAAAGCCACAGTCACCGGGTTGGGTTGTTTTTTGGTAATGTACATGTGTTCAGACAACTTATGCAGAAATTCGCATCATAGAGCTGCAAAAGTTTGACAGCGGTAGCATCAGAGCATGAATCTGTAGTATTTAAACATGATAAGTGTTATGTTTTGTAAGTGTAGGCCTAACATGTGAGTATTTTAAAAATAAATTTCTGTTCGATGCTTATTCGAGGCCTGCAGCCTATGGAGGCCCTCTACTGTTGTTTAACCACCTTACCCAGCATGGTAAGGAGTCGGCGATTCTGCCAAGAAGTCGATTAATTGAGTTTTATGTTAATGAAAATCTGTTATGCAGTGCTCTAGCATGATTTTTAGTCACATGCATGCTTCAAATAACATTTATACCATGTTTTTTTATGTAAAACATGATACATATCCGTGTACTATTTACATGTATTTACATAAAATACACTAATAAATTTACACACCATTTTGCGTGCCAAAAAATAGATTAATTATCTTCGTTTTACTCTATTGTGGCACTACGTGAACCCTACAGTGTCAAAATTCTTTAGACTTAATGCTGCAATTTACCCTAACCCTCGTTCTATACACTCACGCATAAGGCGCATTAATTTTCATTGATTCTGTGTTTTTGGGGGCTCTTTTCAGAGAGCTGATATCTCAGCTCGTGGTGTCATGCCCACCTTTTGAATTCGGCTACCCGTATAAGGAAAAGGGTCGAAATCGCTTCATCTAAAATTTCAATCGATACGTCTCTCGCTCTGCTCCTTTAAGGTGGCGTCTATAACAGTAAGCCTCCGAGATTGTTCAACCGTTGCGCACTACTTCGTCTCTTAGAAAAGGCCTTTTTTGCATTTTTTTTCGCGCGAAATTCGGCACGTACGAGTGCAATAATTAGCAATTATGCGACGCAGTGGTGGAATGCGTCGTGGATGTCGAGAAAGCATTAGAAGTAAAATTATTCTTTGTTTGTATTCCTGTGACATTTCCGTTCAGGTGCGTAGGCCACAGTCACCGCGTTGGTGTTTTTGTGTGTATGAAATGTGTTCAGACAACTTTGGCAGAAATTCGCATCATATAGCAGCTGGCAAAAGTTTTGAGGCGGGAGCATAGAGCATTGAATCTGTAGTTATTTAACCATGAATAAAGTTTGATTTTGTAAGTGTAGTAACAGTGTGCAGTATTTTAAATAAATTCTGTTCGTGCTTATTCGGCCTGCAGCCTATGGAGGCCCTCTTACTAGTTTTTAAGCAACCTATAACTGTTTTTATATTTGGTGAGGGTTATTGGACAGAACGGGGTGCATTGCAATTGTGAGATCGCCATGCAAAATGGCATGTGCTGCTACATGCGGCCCGTACGGCCGCTAATGCGCGCGAAAAAAAACCTATCGTTCCCTTCTAACATGGCTTTACCTTGCTACTGCATTATGTGTATACATTCACTTCCAATCGTTATTCACTTTTTAAAAGATTGTTTTCAGAAACGCCCGCTTCATTTCACTTTAAAATTACATTCGCCATTTTACAAACAATCAGAGCGAGTCTTTAACAATAGCCCAGGTTCTCACTTGTATCTCTGTGGCAGCTGCAGGAGGGCTGATAGACTCGCCTCTGATTGGTCTGATTGTTTGTAAATGGCAAAATGTCAATTTCTAAGTGAAATTATAAGCGGCGTTTGAAAAACAATCTGTTTAAGAATGATAATAGATTGAGTGAATGTATGTACGGCCATATCATAGCAAGGTAAGCCATGTAGAAGGGAACGGTAGGGGTTTTTCTCGCGCCAATAGCGGCGTACGCGGCCGGATTACCAGCGCATGCATTTATTGCATGCGATCTCACTGAAATTGGCAAATGCATCCCGTTCTGTCCCAATAACCCTCACCACAAATATAAAAAAGTATATGGACAGAATTATTCGGTCTATATGCGCGAGGTAACCTGAGTATGGTTCGATATATCGGAACTACACTGGTAAACCTACGGTATCTGATATGGTTTAGGGTTAGGGTTAGGGTTAGCGGGAGTAGGGTAGGCAACTCCCCTAGATCTCGTTAGTGGAGTAGGGCGAGTACGTACGGCCATGATTAGATAGTATTAAAAAAAAAAATACAGGGTACGTTCCGATATATCGAACCTACCCAGGGTACCCTCCGATAGTACCCTGGGGGACATAAGACCCTACTCAGCGTTTCAGTGTGCAGCAGCTAGCACGGCAGTTAGCTCTAGTACTAGAGCCCGCGGAATCCTGCCGCAGGCTATAAGCACATTCTGCCATAAGGATCAGGGGATCGAAATTTAGCGGTTTATCCGATATCGCGGGGATACCAGATTCTTGTGCCGGCGGATACCAGATTTCAATGTTTACTTGGTATCCGCCGCGGATAGTAAAAAAAAAATCTTCATAATCGGATAGAGATGGTGTGAGTTATCAACACTTTAGACGGCAGCGCATCTGAGCAGGCGTAGGAGCGCACACGGAGCGCGAGTGCGCGCCCTTAGGTTACATAATTTACTATGTCACACTAGCGTTTTTATACAGCAGGCATTACCATATTTGCAGCGCAAGCGTGGCCGGCATGTTTTGATATAATTGGTGAACAATGTGTATACATTGTATCATGATTTGTATCAAGTGAACCAGACAAAATGCCGGGTCTAGACAATACGTCTGCGTGTACTGTAGAGGCGTCTGTTAAAATCATAGATATGTATCGAAGAGTGCATAATAGAGATCTCTGTTATGACCACTTCTTGATATATATACAACAACCTGTGTTGTATATATCTAGTTGGTAAAATGAAATGCTCCGGCGACATGCACTTCAGCCCACAATGATAGACGCGGTCGAGTCGAGATTTTTATATATTAATTAATTTACATATTAATATTTCAAAATTGCTATTATTGCATATTTCCAAGATTTGCGATACCAACATTGTTGAATTACTATCCAAAAAAATCCTTGGCGATACCAGATCTTTGGGGGGGGATACCAGATTCAATACCTGGTATCCCGGAATGGATACCATGAATAAAAATCATAATTTCGACCCCTGCGTTAGATGTAATCTATGCAAATGGTCCAAACTGATGCTGAACCAAAAATTTATCCACAAACGCAAAATGATCCGGCTTTTAACACTGTATCTATCCAACAGTAGACACTCACCTATTCTTTGTGAACACTTTCCACAACGTTTACCACCCCAATTCGCTATTTTATCCATTTATTCCTTAAAAAGTGGCCAGCCACTACTTTCCAAATTCCGCTTTTGAAATGGTGTGTGTCACGGCGTGACGTCATACGAAATGTAGCTGCATCATAGCTGCCACAGTGTAGTTGCCAATGTTTTTGTGGCCTATGATGCTATATTTCGGGTTACGTCACGCATGCACACACAGCATTTCAAAAACCGAATTTTGGAAGTAGTGCTGCGCACTTTTAGGAAATTAAAAATGGATAAATAACATGGTGTAAACATTGTGGAAAGTGCTTCAAAAGATAGGTGAGATGCCTATTGTTTGATAGATAAGTGTTAAAAAGCCCGATCATTGTGCTTTTGGGGATAAATTTGTGGTCAATCCAGGTGGACCATTTGCATAGATTACATCTTATGGCAGAATGTGCTATAGCCCTGCCGCCAGCGATCCGGGCTATAGTACTAGAGCTAGCAGGCCGGTGTACTTTGTGTTGAAGATGAGCATTTGACCGACATTTACAGGATTATAGGCGAAATAGATAGAGAAACAAGTAAGACTGTTGGTAGTAAATTACATTTCGTGCTTATTTACCATTCCATTGGCAGTTGTTGTTTTTTATTGCAGACGTCAGTGCCTGTAAGGCTGTGGTGCGCTTATCATGGTTCAAGGGGTAGCTCTAGTACTATAGCTCGCTGTACATTAACTGCGCTGGTATAGACCGACCATGTGGGGCAGGTGTGTTTTGTGCGATGTGACCAACTTTACCCCCGATTATACCCGACATAAAACGTCTGTGGTAGGCAATTAATGCCTCTTATCGAATTGAATATGTCTCAAGTTATAGCACCGCTTACTAAAATTGAGTGGTGTGTAACCGTGCTGTGTTGATATGATGAGTGCTGTTGCACAATGGGTGTGTGGGGTATACTTGCGTTCCTATCCGTGTGTGTAGTTACAAACATGCGATTGCGACTTAAACGGCCATTTCTGGCGGCGCCGTCGAGTGTGCGTCCTGTGGCTTAGTGTCAGCGTGTGTTGAGTGAGTGTGTTGAAGTGTGTGCGTCGTGTGTGTTGTTGTGAGGCTGCGGCCGGTGTGGCGGCGTGCGTTTGTGGACAAAAAGGCATTGTTTGGTTGCAAGTAACAAATTATTGAGTCTGATCAAAAGAGATTGTAATATTGAGTTGTGTTGTTGTGCCATGAAAGGGATGTGTGTGTGAGAGCGAAATACTATGTGTAGTGAAGTGGGTGGTTGTAGTGCTGTTGACAAACAAGCTCAAATGTTTTGGTGCTCATCAAACCAACACAACCCGCCCACCCCTGGCCACATGCGTGTTGAGTGTTGAGATGAGTAGAGTGATGAGTTCCCGCTTGAGCGGCGGCGCGAGAGAAGTGGTCCCGAGCATTCGTAATGGTTGATGCTATAGCCCAGCGGCAGTTAATGTAAGCGGCTATAGTACTAGAGCTAGGTTCAAGGGAGCATCAAGATTTTCGGCTTGGTCAGTCCGAGTGGCAGTTGTGACTGTGTGTATACGTAAATGTGCGTACGCGAAACCTCGCGCGTAGATAAGTGGCGAAGAAGTAAAACGAAATACAGTCTCAGTCGTGGTGTCTAGCGATTACGGAATTACAACACTTGCCGACTTTGCAGGAATTTCGGCAGTGGCAGGAACCCAACTTACCCGTAAGACATGGTATCCCTCTGTACCTCCGCCAGGCACATTTGAGCTCTGTGCGCCTCCCATCGATGTTCTATATAGCTGTCTAATCTATCTCAAATGTAAAAAAAATACAATCGTTCTCACTCAAAGTTAGTAAAACTCCTAGGAGATGGCGAGCAAAATACGTGGCGAGGGCCGCGTATGTAGAAGTTATTTAATTTTTTGTAAATGTTACAATGTCTCATAAACATATAGCAAAATCCGAAGAAATATTGCAATTATTTTACTTAGAAATTAATTATCTTGTAAATAAGTAAATTATATTAGGTTATAGTGTACTAAAATCGATAAAACGAAAAGTTCTCTCATTGTTACTACCGCCATCTTACGGACATACTTTTTAATAATCTCAGTTTGTATATATATTTACAGAATAGTAATTGGGCCCGGTTAGCTCAGTCGGTAGAGCATCAGACTTTTAATCTGAGGGTCAGGGGTTCAAGTCCCCTATTGGGCGCAATATTTTTCCTGTTCTTCATCTTAATACGTAACAGTATATAATTATATCACAGTAACAAACGGTAACACAGTATCTCAGTAACATACGGCTGAATTTGATCATATATCGACGCAATTTGAACGCGAAGAATTTGGCGCCTTGAAAGTTGTGTTTTATTTGATGCCATAATTATGGTGTTGTTACCTCCGCGCAACGGAGTTGCAGGGGAGCCTGGGGAGGTAATGTAATCGGTCGTGTGTGTGTGTGTGTGTGTGTGTGTGTCCAGCCCGCGCGGCGCGATCGATAGCGCGTTGAGTCAGCGAGCGGCGAGTCAGCGAGCGGCGAGTCAGCGAGCGGCGAGTCAGCGAGCGGTGAGTCAGCAGCAACCACCAGCAAGCGGTGAGTCAGCAGCCGCCACCAGCGAGCGGCGAGTCAGCAGCAGGCGAGTCAGTCAGCAGCAGCCAGCAGTGAGCGGCGAGCCAGCTCGTAACACATACATGTTACATGCTCGCGGAGGTATGCACTCTCCGTGAGTGCCCTCTGTCTAGTTCTATATGCTTTATGATAATATTATGCGTCTTACGTAAAGTAATCAGTCTGCTCCCCGCCGTCTCTAATAATTACGCCCGCCTTCTTTTACTTCAGCGATATATTTACCTAGATATCGATCTCACATATCTTCTACCTCCAGTATTTCTTTCACGTTGTCCCATCGATCACACACGCACACACACGCACACACACACACACGCGCGCGCGCGCGCGCGCGCACACACACACAACACACACACACACACACACACACACACCACACACACCACACACACCACACACCACCGACACACACCACACACACACACACACACACACACACACACACACACACACACACACACACACACACACACACACACACACACACACACACACACACACACACACACACGTGCACGTACGCAGGTACGGACGCTCACGCACGCCTCACACGCACGTGCGTACGCCGACCATGCGATTTATTCACATTTGCTATATTTGCCGCTTCCTACTAATTAACGAGCATGCAACTTCGCATAACATTTGCATAATTTATCAGTCCCAAAATGTCTAGCGACACAATAATTAAGTTTTGGAACACAATCAGATACTAAAAGTCGAACAAAAACAAAGTCGATCGTCACTATAATAGGAAACTACATACCGGCGACATCACTAAGCAACCGCTTCATAACAGCACGTCTGTATTATGAGTTGTACTATACACTCTTTTGAACCTAGCAGCGAACTAAATTCGCAATCATATGTTTCTTTGTATGGAGGAGTTGTTTGCATCGAATGTTTGATTTGTCCTTGCAAGGTGTCAGCGACGGTCGAAGACGTAGAGTAGGCCTACAAACATGGATTAATTGTTCATTCTACTACATGTTACAACAAATATAAACGCAACCCGCAGGCTGTGGCCACTGTGAGCGTTCTCTTCCTGTCCTTCTGTCTCTTCTCTCTCCTGCCTCCGTTTGTATTATCTCCCGAGGCCTCGGATCATACCTACATTTATAGGGAAAGCTTCATTCTTTGAAGTGTGTGTGGGCGTTCTGCTCTCAGCCAATCACAGGCCCCTCACCCGACTATCCCTTGTAGTCTGGTTTGACCTATCTGGCTCTGGCCCGATCTATTTGCCACGGTTCGTATATACATATTCCATCGTTACTAATGAATATTGATTGTTCTCATCTAGCGTTGTTTGTTACACCTATCCTCTATCAATCTTAACCCTTGCCCTCTGTCGGTATTACGACTATCACTCCATTGCTATGCTACGTATCGTTGATAGTCGTATAGTAATACACATTGACCAACCAGCGTTGCCGCGGAAAATTAATGTTGGACAGCAGGTCAAAATTATATTATGCAGTCCCTCATGAGGAGGACGACCAATCAAGCGGGTGTAGAATAGTAGAGGGAGTCCTTATACGCAGCAGGCCTGAATAAACATCGAACAATAATGATTTAGGGGGTATACACACTTAGAGAGTTTCGGCGCATAAAGGCACTGTATTCATGCTAAATTACGAGAGATTAAAAACCCGATCTTGCCTCGAAACATTTTGCCAGATTGTTTTCGAGGTTTCACATCATATGTAGTCGACTCCCGTTTCAAACACAGAAATGGCCGACCGGTCACCATTGACGTACAAGACTGTTGAAAGCAAACGTCGAGTTCGACCGGTCACCATGGATGGCTACACCACTTGACGCAATAGCACAATGATACGATAAAACAAATCACACATCTATATTGCGTTCTCGGCGTCTACGACTCAGCTACATTGCTGGCATAATGCAAATTAGTGCCCGCTAGTTCCGAATTTTACTGCTAACATATTTAAAAGAAGGCCCTTTCCTAGTACGAGATTATAGGGACGAGATATTGAAACGGTGAGCAATTTGAGGAAGGGTTCTGTTGTATGCCACCTAAAGTTAATTAGCTTGCGCTAGGCTCTATTCAAACATCAGCGTCGCTTCCAATAATTCATGAGAGCGGATGCCATATGTAAAATTTGTTAGCCAGTAACTCTTTCTACCCTAGCAACACCCTGTGTTATGTCACGTGGTACGACACGTGTGTATAAACAACCCTTACACATATATACAGATAACTCCGGCACAGACTCGCATCACAAGCGCACGGATAACGCAAACACGCTCTATATATACAACTACCTGCAAAATGCGAACAAAGTCGGTTGTGATTTACTTTGCTGTTGTTTTAGCAGCGATAGCATGGAACATGTATCTAGGTGAGTACGTTTGTAACGTCGCGTGTTTCAGCGTGTAGGCAGATTGAGTATAGAAGCTCCGCCTTCAGGTGAAATCTGAATTGATACACGCAATTATGTGTGTAAACGGTGAGTCACTCTATACTAGTGTTAATGCCAGTATTTTTGTCACATTAATACGTCCATTTGTTATATTGTCATTTATTTATTTTTCTCAGTTATACGCTCACTGAATTATTCGTCTTTTCATTCATAGGGGGGCCTACGTTTACACATTTGATTATTTATTTATTTATTTTTTTATGGGCGCGCCCTTCTCCTTCCATTTTAGGAGAGGCCGTGAGACTTCGTTACATCGGATGCTACATCGATCTCCCTAACGGGAAAGGAGGTAATGATTTTGACAAATTCCATAAAATGCACGGCACCCTGACCCCGACCATCTGCGCCACTTATTGCATCGACCGTGGCTATATATTCATGGGTCTGGCAATCGGAAGGAATTGTAAATGCGGCATGGCATACGGAATGAACGGACAGGCACAAGAGACCGCGTGTGAGAAAAATGCGTGCGAGGGTGACGGCAGCGTCATGTGCGGATCTTCCCAAGCGAACACGGTTTACAGAATCGACGAATGTAAGTAGAAATGCGCAAATGTGTGAGTTTCTGTGTTCAGTGGCGTGTTGGACGGCGCAAGCGATTGCGCGGGTTTAAACCACACATGGGAATCATTACATCCTAGCTTAATGTAGATCGCTCTCTCTTGATGATGATGATGATGATGAGGATGATGATGATGATTATTACTATTATTATTATTATTATTATTATTATTATTAATTCACTATCATTGTCATTATTATCAATATAATTGTACATGTTATCGTTATCTTATCTTTCTCGTTATTACTTACTGTGAGTGTTGTTACTCACAATTGTTGA